AAATATTGGGAATTACTTGCCCCTAGGGATACAGTGGAGAATATTTGCCCATAGAGAATCATTGGAAAATACTTGCCTATAGGGAACTAGAGTATTGGGAATTACTTGCCCATAGAGATACATTGGAAAATACTGTACTTGCCTATAGGAAAACATGGCAGAACATTTGCCCATATGGATACATTGCAGAATACTTGCCCATAGGGTAACATAGGGGAATACTTGCCCATAGGGAAACATTGGAAAATACTCACTTATAGGGAAACATAGGGAAGATCTCCAGTGTTTCCCTAAGGGCAAGTATTCTCCAATGATTCTCTGTGAGCAAGTATGGTTTCCCAAGGGCAGGTACTGTTATTTGTTTTAGTATGTCCCAACCCAGACTCTCTGCTCAGAGGTCAGAGGTCAGAGGAGGGTCGATACTGCGAGGAGGACCAGTGTGGCCTGATAGGATTATTCCAATACTAGATCCTTATCTAGTCTGACTATATACCTGCTACCCCAGGTGGTGTAGAGTGGCAACTTTTTCCTACCTGGGGCCGGTCCGCTGGTCCCGAGGTCTTCCACGGGCCGATGGGGGGGGGAATGGCGCGCGCGCATGCACACTACACCGGAAGTACTATGCATGCGCATGCTCGCTTGTGCATGTGCAGTACTTCCGGCGTACTGCGCATGTGCGAGCGAGTCACGGCCACTATTTTGTTTTCCAAAATGGCGTTGTGACTCATTTGCGCATGCGCTGGAGTACTGCGCATGCGCAAACGAGTCGCTGCTGCCATTTTGTTTTCCAAAATGGCAGCCGTGACTCGTTCGCGCATGCGCAGTACTCCGCCGCATGTGCAAACGAGACACGGCGCCACTTTGGAAAACAAAATGGCGGCTGCGGGGGCGTTGTCGGCAGCAGGACCGGGCTGGGGCCGGTCCAAAGGCCTCGGGGGGCGGATCCGGCCCCTGGGCCATAGGTTGCCGACCCCTGGCTTAGGGGGTCAGAAAGGCAAGTAAAAGGTCAGTGGTTGGACTGGAGTGCTTTGCATGCGAAAGTCCCAAGGATAAATGTTGTGGTGTTTGTCTGTGGGAAAGGTTGTTGTTGTTGTTGAATTTAAAAGATATAGCCATGTTAGTCTGTAGAATCAGTATGTAGCAAAATCTTACAGAACTTTTGAGACTAACTGAAAGAAAAAGTTGGCAGGATGAGCTTTCCTAGATTTAAGTTTACTTTCTCAGATGTATATGTTGTTGTGTGCCTTTAAGTCATTTCCAATTTAGGACAACCCTAAGGCAAACCTTCATGGGGTTTTCTTGGCAAGTTTTTTCAGAAGGGGTGTGTTATTGCCATGTTGTTGTTGTTGTGTGCCTTAAAGTCATTTTTGACTTATGGCGACCCTAGATGACCCTATCACAGGGTTTTCCCTGGCAAGTTTCTTCAGAGGAGGTTTGCCATTGCTGTCCTCTGAGGATGAGAGAATGTGACTTGCTCAAGGTCTTCCAGTGGGTTTTTATGGCTGAGCAGGGATTTGAACCCTGCTCTCCAGAGTCATAGTCTAACATTCAAATCATTACACCAGGCTGGCTTTCATATTGAGAGTATGCCCTAGGATAGGGCTGCTCCATGGGTTTGTCCCTGGACAGATGCTTGTCCCTGCTTAGTTCCTGC